GTTGGCTTTTGGGAACATTATCTTGTCAGCATAATGAAAGGGTTTGATGACTCAGCCTTTGAGCATTAGCGTGAGGACCATCTGGAATTTTCTTCAAATGTTATTCCTCTTTCTCATAACATTAGTAGAAATTAAGGAAGATGCCGCTAGAGCCATATAGGTTGCTTCAGTGTCCATAAAAAAGGCAGTGATATTTAGTGATGGCCTTGAAGTGTGAATTTAATTGGCGGCGAGGAAATTGGAATTTAAGTCCCAACTGATCTAAAATTCTAAGCTCATTATCATGTTGTATTATTATAAGTTCCTTTGCTGAAAGTTCTCTCCATTACCATCTAGTTCTCCTTGTCTCTCAAGTCTGCTCTGTTAAAGCTGACCAATATTAACATGAGATATCAGTGGAAGAGAAGACTATTGGTGGAGGTCTCATTTTTAGGACTTGACAGATCACATAGTGTCTATTGTTACCAGGGAACAGCCAGTGCTTCTAGTACAAATGACTGGGGGAGGATGGGATGAGTATATTTTCCATGCTTTGTAGTGGCAATTATAAAATAATTGTGTGGAATGCTTTTTAATAATTTGTTCCTTTAATCTCTGTTTAAGGAAGATGATTATATCGTTATTACACACAATTAATGGAGTTTCTCTATATTCTACTATCCTTGAGAAGGGACTGTGTTGTTTGTTTGATACATAGCAGAAAAGATTATTAAACCACCTGCTTATTCTCCCATTGTAAGAATATCCTGAGATTCTTAAGAGGATTAACTGGCCTACTGGTCTACATTGCTCTTTACAACCTTGGGGAGCTCACATGATCAGATTGGTATATTAGAAGGAACTCCAGCTAGATATAAATGAACTGACAAGTGGCAGTAAACCTTCAGTCCCTTATGTGAATGGATGATGTAGGAAAATGTGCTTGGTTCAGTGTTAATAAGAAAGTAGTCATTAGTTTAAGGAACAAGTGGTTTTCAAAGTTGTCTAAGTCATAGAAAGAGATTCAGTTATAGATCGGTTCATTGAAATGAACAGGTTACCTGATAAAGGAAAACATTGTTAAGAATCTTAGGTCTTGTGTTCCTCTTCTTACCCAAACATAGAGGAAGGAGTAGAGCCCAAATTATCGTTCAATGTTATCTATGAAAGTATGTTTGCTCATTTGTTTATTGATAAACTCAATAGGGTACTAGGTGTGTAATTTCCCTTTTTATTCAGGAATAAGTCTACACATACTCTCATTTGCCTATATCAAGAGATGCATTTTTGTCTGGTATATGCTTGATTTATGCGTGTACATCTCTATCTAAAACAAAATAGATGAGATGTTTCTCCATATGTATGTTTATATTCCACAATATTCAAGAGAATTGTTTTCATTCTTTGTGATCAAGCATATCAATATTTGATTTTCAGTATGACAGGAAGTCTGACCTGCATGGTGTTTAACAAGTAATAGAAGAGTACTCTTATGTCATGTGAGAGTTTTTATTTTATCATTTTCCTACTGTGATTTCCTTCCTTGACTTGACTAGTAGTTTCCAAGGGATGCTGTGAAACAAATGTCTTGTGTATAGTTTTATAAACTCCCTGTTTGCTTCTGAACAGATGTTAAAATTGCACCTGCTACGATTGACTTGCATTTTACTCTGCTTGTTTTCTCGTGATCTTAACTTGTAGGGCATGATAGCCTGTTGATTAGACTGTATGATTTGAGACTGTGGGGGGTTTTGCAGATTTTGCAGGCCAATCCTAATATGTGTGCCACTCTGAGTCCCCTTCAGGATTGAGAAGGTCAGGATATGAATATGGCAAATAAATAATTTATTTGTATCATCATTAATACAAGAAATGTGACTTAGTGGTTTCACATACCAGGATTCATACTCTTAATTGAAACAATTGCTCAAGTGCATATGGGAGATATGATGAAAACGTTATTATCCCCTACCGGAAACTTGTAAATGGCTTTAGGCAATAGTTCTTTGCTGATACCCTTATCATGGTGCTTGTGTTTTGGATGCATATTATGCCATCTTTTTAAAACATAGCACAGTTTTGGTATCAGTCTTGTTAGCTGCTATTTCCAACCTTCCTATATCCAACAGCAGAAGTCTAGTAACCTTTCTTCCCCTGGCAGCTTCTCAGCTTGCTGTTTGTGGAAAATATTGAAATGGGTGAATTTTAATATCCTTAAAGGAAATAAGCATATCCATTTATTGACTCGAGGCAAAATAGAAGAGCTAAGAGAGCGTTGTCGTCATCCATCTTCAGGGCACAAAATGTAAAATTAAGGCATTACTTGAATGAATTTGTAGGAAAGCTCATCAGGATGCATACATCACTTCTCCCTTTCCCCCTCAGTGATATGAGAAGGAGTCATTTAGCTGCTGCTAATCCCCATGACTCGTTTATCTGAAGGAGACCCTTTATCTTGTCATTACCTGAGGTGCGTGAAATGAGCTGATCATCCCAACTCCTGGCAGACCTAGAAGCAAAATTAGGCACCGTATCCATGGTAATGCAGAGAGTGGTTTCTTAAGTAGCCATTTAATCCACTGATATAAAATCGACCTGCCAGTGGACTCTGAGCAGCCTGTGTTATTGTTGGACAGATTGTAATTTAAAATTGATATGCCATCTTGGGTAGGTACGAGATAGTTTAAAGGGAGTTGGACATTTTATTTCTTAGGATCCTGAATGCAGATGGAATAGATATTAGTTGTGATGGTTTATTGCTGTGTCTCGGGATTACTTTGATGTAGAAGTTAAAATTACATCTGTTCTTCTTTATTGGTTTGTTTTCTCTTCTGGTTTCCTAAATGTTTCACTGCAATATCAAACTCAGTGTATTGGGTCTGAAATTTCCATGGCTTCTTTTTTCAAGTTTTAGTAAATTAACCCATTTATGTGTGGGAATGTTGAATTTTCAGTTTTCATTGCCTTATAATCTAACAATACGTTGTAGAAAATCATACATGTTGAGAAGAGGAATGAGAAAGCTGGTTCTTCGGGTGCTTTGGAACAACTCTCAGAATCCTCAGTCAGAATGACACAGCTAGGGATTATGGAAGCTGTAGTGCAAAAAATTCCAATCCCAATTGTCTGCATTTACTCAGTTACATTAAACATTGCTATAAATATTATCTTATCCTTAGAGCAGCATTTCTCAACTTGGGGTCGGGACCCCTGGAGGGTCATAAGGGGGTGTCAGAGGGATTGCCAAAGACGATCAGAAACACATATTTCTGATGGTCTTAGGAACACCGGAAATGGAAAAAAAGGGGGAAGACCTTTACCCTATCTGTGTATTGTATGTTGTTGAATGTTTGCCTTATATGTGTACTGTAATCTGCTCTGAGTCCCTCCAGGGAGATAAAGCAGAATATAAATAAAGTGTATTATTACTACAGGACATAGAGCATCTTCAATGTTTTTCATGCCACACTAGCATTTGCCAGCTTTTACAGAATTTTGTGGTGGATATTTTGTTAGCAAGTACAGCAAGCCACCAATTTTGATGATGTAATTTTATCAGCAGGTATAGCATGTGTTGCAAAAATGAAGGGGGAGGGACACTATACTTCGGAATCCAGAGATTTTGTGCTCCCTTCCCAATTCCTCAAACTTACTTCTTCAACATTTGCAAATATCTCAATTACTAATCAGTTATAGAGTTTCAAATAAATTTGGTAGGAAGCTGGAACCAAACCTCAAAGGTTTGGTTCCAGTACTGAAAAGAAAGTCCAAGAACACATTTAATTTTGCAACCCCTATCTTTTTGAGGGAGCATAACACAATAGCACAATAACAGAATAACACAATATTCTTGGAAAAGAAGAGAATTGTTAATGCTCATTGGATTGCTGGATTTGTGCTTGTCCTTAACCTTTAGGTAGGTGAAGATGCATCAGTACTGGGGTATTTTCCATGTCCAGGCTTTTTTTTTTAGACATTTGTAGTTTGTGGACTTGGTAACACTAAGGCATTTCAGTAGGCACTGGAATTTTTCTCACTGCAAAACATTTTCATTGCTTGAAATGAGTAGCTGCATATATTGGTATCTTCTTTCCTTTTGTAGTACTCCAGAACTTCTCCTAAGAGTGACTAAAACTATATCTTCTGTAACAAATCCCTCAACTTAAGACATCATTAATTCTGGTCCTCACAGTACATACAATTGAGGAAATCAACTACTTCTGAAGTTCCTTTGTAAACAAATATTAAACCATTAAGCTATTGAGTATCTTATCTGAATGTAGCCTGCGTTTAGATAAAAAGAGCACATGTTGATGTAATGCTACTTCTCTTGTACCTCCAGTCTACTATGTTTCTAAGACATTTTACTGCAGAATTGTCAGAAGATATCTGTTTAGGAATGTATAGAAATACATAGCCTGTCTTTCATAATTAAGGGCCAAATGTGAATATGGCAATTCACTTCCCAAAAATATGTGCGTAAAAATATAGTAAAACCCATAAAATTGTAAGAACAAGTTTATACTGTTCCATTGGTCTTCTGAATTCCTACAATACCCCTGAAACACTGGAGTCTTTGAGTGGTGTAAATCTTCTCCAATGATTTTTACAAATATTTTGCCTCTGATACACCTAACTTGCCTTTTTGAGTTGCAAAAATATGATATAAAAGACTGGGAGAAAATACATATAGAATGGCAATAAAATTTTAGCTGATTTGTAAACATTCATTTAAAAATACATTCTAGATTAGACTGAAGGACTAAAGAGAAAGAGTTGATAGTTGGCTTTATTATTTTAGAACTGTTGACTACTGTGAAACATTTTGTTCTTTTTAAGCTTTCCGGAATTAAAGGTTTTGGCTAAAACTGCAAACAGTCAGGCAATTTTCCTTAAAGTTTGATAATTAATTTTACCTAATACTTTTGATAAAGCCTAAACCCCACGTAACATTGAGTACTTAATCTACAAAGGATAGCTGATTTAATTTCAAATGGTTTTTTCCCTTCCTTGTTTTTTAGGATAAGAAAGAAAAGGTTTCTAGGTTTGATACCATTCGGCACTCCATTGCTGGTATGATAAGATCTCCAAAGTCTATGTTGGGCTCTTCATCGGTAAGTGCACAGGTAACACAGTTCAGTGTTCTTTCATACTGAAACAGATTATTTCTCCTATCAACTGCATATTACTGATAGGATTTATTAACATAAAGCAGATTAGTTCTTGATTAGTCTTTTTCCGATCTTTTTGTCAGTTTCACTTCTGTACATAGGTCCATTCAATCACATTTCCACATGAACCTGTACTTTGAACAAGATAGAGAAATTCTCCCTATTTTGGAACAAATTTCAAAAATTTCATTTTGAACATGTATTGCTGTCAATTTGTTCTTCTAGATATGCTTGGGTATTTTTGTTTTTGTTTTTGAGCCCAGAACCAAAGGATAATTCACCTTTTAGTTAAATGTTAGTCCATGAGAGACAAGTCAGTTCATTTAAAGTATTTGGGGTGATTTCAGTGGTTTTCAATCCCACATTGGATGGAAAATCAAAGGAAAAGATGAAAAGAGACCAAGGAAAGCTTCCAAACACCCATTTGAAAGACTAGTAGAATAGTAGAGCTGGAAGGGACGGCGTGGGCCATTTAGTCCAACCACCTGCCTTGCAGAAAAGCACAATTAAAGCACTCCTGACAGATGGCCATCCAGCCTCTGTTTAAAAGCGTCCAAGGAAGGAGCTCCCACCACATTCTGTGGCAGAGAGTTCCACTGTTGAACAGCTCTTATGGTCAATAAGTACTTCCTAAAGTTCAGGTGGAATCTCCTTTTGTGCTCCCTCTTCCTTATAACAGCCTTTAACATATTCAAACATGGTGAACATGTCTCCTATTCTCAAGTAGACAACTTGATTCTGAGAGATGCTTGTGGGTTCAAATATGGAAAAGCAGCATACTTCCCTTTTTTTCAAAGACACTCGGGGAATGATATGTGTTGTCTATCTAAATCAATTTGTCATAAAATAATTAAAATGGAATTCATCCAAAGAATGTTTTCAGACCATAATCAGGTGCTCTTGACATTTTTAACAATAAAAGGAATTTCTGCTGGAGATTAAATGAGTCAACTGCTGCATGATGAAAAGCTAATCAATGAAGCCAAAAGGCTTTGATTTTTTTAAAAAGAAGTAATAAACAGGAGCTGAAATCAGAATGGTTTGGGCTGCAAATAAAGCATATATGAGAGGATGTTTTCAATTTAACACAATATGGAATTAAAGAAGAGCTGAGAAAATTATCAGACTATTGTAAATGAGTTTAAAATGAAAGAAGGAGAATTGCAATGAGATCACTGAAGAAAAGAATTATTAAATGAGACAGACTGCAGATATAACTATCAATGATGTCAGTAGAAGAAATACTGAAGAAAATGAGATGTGGAAAACAAATATTTTGAATTCTGAAATGAACTAGGAAGATGGCTTTCCTATAGATTAAGTGAGGAGAAAGAGAAAACATGAGTTTGAAGATTAGAATAGGAGAAGTTATATACCAAGGGAAAAAACTTGATGCTTTACAAGTATTATACATCAGAGAAGAAAATACAGTAGAGTATATTTGAAGGAACAGGTGCTATCTGGAATTAGTGAAGAGCAAAGGAAAAGTTTTAATGAGTGGAATTAATAGAGAGAATGAAGGTTTGGCTATCTATGCAATAGTACAAAATATTGGTGAATGGGTTGAGTTTACTTTTTCAACAAATCATGACCTCTATTTTACAGAATAAAATTCCAAACCATTTTTTAATGGGGAAGAAATCATCCTGCCAGGTAGGAATGGGAAAGATTTCTGTCTAAAACCCAAATGAGCCACTGCCGCCCAGCAGGGACTACAGTGAGCTGGATAGACAAATGGTCTGACTCAGTAAAGTAGCTGTTCTGGAGAATGAATAGTACTGCAGTTTATTATTAGGATTCTCATTGTAGTGATTTTGGGAGTATGGAACTTTTTATTAATTTGAATTAGATGAGTCTCACTTTTGTTTATACTAGAATGATATTACAGTAGTTAAGCTAATTTATTCATGATGAATTTGAGATATCTGAAGACTAGACAAACAAAAATTTCCGGTTTCCCCTGAAGAGATGTTGAAAAGAACGACCTAGGGTGTGTTGTGTGATCTTTTATGTCTTTTAAATAGTTTTTCATGATTTTAACTATTCATTTTAGACAACTCTAGGTTTAATTCAGTTATAATTTTATAGTCTTTTAAGTTTTAAATTGTATGTTGTATTGTTTTTAGCATTGTCTGCCATTTTGAGTCTGTTTTAAATGTTCTGATGTATTTTATAATCTTATTTTAAATGTTTATTGTACATTTACATTGTTTTAATGGCATTGAATAGCTGTCTATGTTGTAAAGCCGCCTTGAGTTCCCTCCGGGGTTGAGAAAGGCAGGGTAGAAATGGCGTTAATAAATAAATAATATGTAAGGGGAAAAGGCAGCATAGAAATAAATATACATAAAAAGTGATGTGCCACTGTTAAGATGACCTTACCTGCGGTAACTCTACAGTTGCATTTCGGAAAGTGGGCTTTCACACACATGGAATTTGATTATTTGCATGGGCAAATAATCCTCTCCACTAGTTATCTCATTCTGAGAGAATTCTTCATTCTCTTGTGAACTTTGATTTTGAATTTTCTAGGAGGTTCATAACATGAACTAATCTGACATATTTGAGTGTGAACAATCCATTGCTCTGCTTTCATCAATGAATATGTAGTGTTGAAAGAAAAATGACAGTCTTGAAAAAGTGATAATAATAGTGTTTCTTTGTAAGAGCTGGATAACTGCATTAATATATACTTTGTTTTCTTAAAAATAGTTTGTGTTTTAGGTAGCTATTCTGTTCTTAGACATTTTGTTTGTCTTTTCTTTAAAGCAGAGGTGGGCAAAGTGTGGCCTATGGACTGCATGCCATGCAACCCACACACTGGAACTGTTTTTATGGGTGTCAGGGTCTCACAGAATTAAATATATATATAGTTATACAAATTCATTGTTGGTTCCCTAAATGAACTCTAGGAGAGTCTGGAGAGCATTTTCGCCATGTTTAGAACCCCACCAAGGGTTTAAAGCAATGTTTGCATTTAAAAAAAATGTTTTGATCTACAACTCCCATGTTCCTGGGTTAGTCCCCTCAAACTCCTCCAGTATGTTCTATTGATCATGAAGGTCCTATATGCCAATCTGGTCCAGATCTGCCATTGATGGGGTTCAAAGTGCTTTCTAGATGTAGGGTGAACTACAACTCCCATCATGCTGGGTCAGTCCACAATATTTTCTGTTGGTCATGAGGGGTGGGGCTGTGTGTCAAATGCAGTTCAGGTCTATCATTAGTGGCATTCTCTAGATGTGGGGTGAACTACAATTCCCATCATGCTAGGTCAGTCTGCCAAAACCCCACCAGTATTTAAAGGTGGCCATGTTGGGTATGTGTTCCATGTTTCATCCTTATCCATTGTGAATTGGGTTCAGAGTACTCTCTGGATGTGGGTGAACTATAAATCCTAAAATTCAGGGTAACCTCCCCTCCCCACAGACCCCTCCAGCATTTTCTGTTAATCATTGGGGGGGGGGGCAGGTCTGTGTGCCAAGTTTGGTCCAGATCCATCATTGAGGCAGATCATAGGACTCTCTGGGAGTGGGAGCCAATCAGAAATCACCCATGCACCGCTGTCCACATACATACAAATACATACAGATGGATTGATTGATAGATGTTTAAGAAAAGTTTCCATACACACACACTCTGAATTACAATCATCCATCTTAACATAACTCCTAGTTACAAACATAAGGGGTTATAATAGCGCTAGGTGGGTCAAGGAGTGGGTATGCCAGCCAGCAGTATGCTCTGGGCATTTTGCATTTTTGAAAATGTTTAAGCATTTACAGAGGGTTAATCATTCCCTATGCTATCCAAAACTATACAGAAAATTGGCTGAAGATACACTTAAAAATGTATATGTTCCAACTTACATACAAATTCTACTTTAAAACAAACATATAGGGCCCATCATTTTCCTAAATTGGGAACTGTCTGGGTTCATTTTAGTTTAGCAACTAATAGACAAACAATTTTAGGAAAGGTTCTAAAATGTGTATTGCACTTTAAATACAAATTAATCATAGAAACCTAAATTAACCGATCTTTCTGTTTTTGTATTTTTTTCTTAGTTCTTTGATGTGATATCAACCACTGAAAAGCCCTTGGCAGATCAAGATTGGTATCATGGTGCAATTCCAAGAGTAGAAGCTCAAGAGCTATTAAAACAGCAAGGAGACTTTTTGGTGCGAGAGAGTCATGGGAAGCCTGGTGAATATGTCCTGTCTGTGTTTTCAGATGGACAAAGGAGACACTTCATCATACAGTATGCTGATGTATGTTTAACATTATTCTAATACTGTTGTGTATATACATGTGTTCACTTTTATCCTTTACCTCTCACAAGAGAGGACAGAGATATTAGCCATATTCCAGAGTTCTATAATGTAGTTACAATTCTGAACCCTCTTTGTCCATGTTTGGAGAGCAATAGTTTTGAGAGAAGCATCTCATCCATCAAGGATCTCCATCCAGTGAGGAACTCTCCATGCATAGAGAAGGGTTTCCTTTTCAGAGAAGGTTTTCCTTTTCTGAAAAGACATGATTGAAGAAGTGGAGTTAGTGTACTCATAACTTATGTTTACTTTCACTCTCGAACTTTCATCACCTGCCTTACTGTTTCTCATGGAAACGTTAACTGAAGGAGGAGTTTAATGATATAAAGGAATCTTCCTGTCTGATGTTCTCTACTAGAATATGTCAGACAGTGCCATTATCCAGCATCTACCCTGATTTAGCAGGCTATTTTGCATCAACCGATAGAAACCAAAACAGGGCTGTATTCTTCCTTTGTACTTAGTATATGCCACATACACAAAAGATTGTAAAATCAATGATGTACCATGGGTGATACTTGTTACAGTATATGATTTTGTAAGTCTTGACAAGAATCATCTCTTGCATATATGTGTGTGTTGAGGAAGAACCACTCCCTGATTAGGATGTATATCAGGTGAGGTTTTCTTGATGCAGGTAGTGGGTGAAATGAAGTAATCAGAGATGGAACTATGCTACAAGGTTTGCTGGAAAGAAGCAGATTAATGCATTATTTTGTAAGTTTTTTTTCCTTCTGCAATGGACAATGTGGACAATGTGTTTTCAAGGCTACTGTATTTTTTCTTTATAAAATACATGTGCTGACTACTCAGAGTAAAGACATTTTCCTTTATACTCTGTGCAAATCAACTTGGGATCTGGAGCTGGGAGGACTGCTGTGTAGATTCAATATAAACTAACAAACCGCAACAGGTTATGGGCCCAGTCTGCCCAGCTTGCCCAGTTTGCCCAGTCTGACCAGATTGCCCA